CGTTTATTTATTTTTGGGACAGAGAGAGACAGAGCATGAACGGGGGAGGGGCAGAGAGAGAGGGAGACACAGAATCGGAAACAGGCTCCAGGCTCCGAGCCATCAGCCCAGAGCCTGACGCGGGGCTCGAACTCACGGACCGCGAGATCGTGACCTGGCTGAAGTCGGACGCTTAACCGACTGCGCCACCCAGGCGCCCCTCTTTCTTTCCTTTTATATGGTATTAAGACATCAACTGATGATTCACAGTCAGTGTAAAATGGCAAAGTTTCATTTTTATTTTAATAGGACTTAAAAACTATTAATAGCTAAGGGGAAGGAAAGATAAATATGTTTCTCTTGTCACCAGGAAATAATTCCTCACGATGCCCAAATTTCACTAGCTTAAAAGTTCTCAATTTCCGGTTGTTTATCTCATCAAGATAGGGTATCTTAAGATTTATTTGAGGTTTCAAATAGTACAATTAGAAAGTGAAAATAAGTAGGAAGGACCAACCGCCCACTATATTTCAGGGAAAAGAGAGATGCAAATCACTAATAAATTTTTTTTTCAAAAGCTCCAATTCCTTAATTTTAAATGTTAGATTGACTGTAAGTGTAGTATCACCTTGCTGCTTTCATTAGTAGTTATTAAATTAACTTCATTCTCAAGTTAAAATGAAAGATTTTATTTCCCTTTCAGAAACAACATCTGACCAAAGTGACATTGAAGGTAGGATCAGAGCCCTAAAGGATGAGCTGCGGAAAAGAAAATCAGTTGTGGACCAGCTGAAGAAGGAACAGAGAAAACGGCAGAAGGAAAGACTGAAAGCCCAAGAAGCCAGTCTGATCAAACAGTTAGAGGTTAGACATAGGAAGGGGGTTCAGTATCAAGGCTAATGTATATTGAAGCCTAAAATGTTTTTTAAATGTTGTTAATAAAGTAATGGCGTAGAATTTTTCATTATTAGTTTGGTGCCACATTTTAACTTCTTTTTAAAAGAAATCCAAGGTTATCTAAACAAACTCTTGCTTAAAGCATTAAATATTAAAATAATAAATCTTGGGGTGCCTGGGTGGCTCAGTCGGTTGGGCGTCCGACTTTGGCTCAGGTCATGATCTCGTGGTTCATGAGTTCGATCCCCACATCAGGCTCTGTGCTGACAGCTCGGAGCCTGGAGCCTGCTTTGGATTCTGTGTCCTTCTCTCTCTCTCCCCCTCCCCTGCTCATGCTCTGTCTCTCTCTGTCTCAAAAATAAATAAAACATTAAATAAAAAAATAAATCTTATAGCATCAAGTATTAAGTAAATATTCTTAAAATCAAATTAAAATAAGAGGTTTTTTTCTTAAATAAGAAAGATTAGGCCTGTGAAAGATTGAAATTCACGCCCTCTTAAGCAAAGAATCATTAGATGAATAATTCTGTAAAAAAAGATAAATAATTCTAGCTATTGAAACTGTTACTGCCTTTTTAAAAACAATTTGTTTTTTTTTAAGCAGAATGATGTTTCATGCCACATTGTCCTATTTGAATGGCTCAGAAGTGATAATTCTAAACTAGACTTCTCCCATGCTCTAGCAGCCTTCCCTGATTCTGCCCCAGCTGGAAACCTGGTTTTGATATTTCCTCATTCTGTTTTCTCTTATCCTTTTGGTTATCAGATCTCACTGGTACTTTTTTTTTTTTCTTTATGAGCCTGCTTGCTTTTTCCATTCCAGCTGCCATCGAGCCGACTGGGGCCTCATGACCCCTTATCTCTGCTCTCTGCATGGCCTCTTAAATGCCCCTGTCTCTGTTGCTTCCCTAATACTTGCATACCTTCTGCCAGCCTAGTATTCCTAAAATGCCACATTCATCATAGAATCAATCTGAACGTCCTGCTCCTCGCAAGAATCCCTTCTCACGGCATCACCAGAGAAGACCATTCAGCTTCTACCTGAACACTTCCAATAATAGGAAGTCTCAAAATTTCAAGGCAGTTGATTTCATTGTAGGATTCTAGGTTCTGTAAATGTTAAAAATCTTTTGGTTCTGTTAGTCAATATTTCTGTCCTTTCAATGGTCCTTGTTGTGGTAACACCAAATATGTATTCCTCCTACATCTATTAACTTAGTCATCAAATATTTAAGTGCCTATTTGTATGCCAGAATTCAGCTAATGACTTTACATGTATTCATTTTATCCTCAAGCAACAGTGGCTTTACTGTCTACAGTTTTACGGATGAGGAAATTGAGTTGCAGGGAGAGTAATGCTATTCAGGGACACACCACTCAGAAGTGGTAAAGCTAGATTTTAATAGATCTCTAATTCTAAATTTTGTGTCCTATCTTCCACATAGAAAACAGGGCTGCTGACAGATGTGGAGAAAATAGACATTCACACAGGTACACAATACAGAGATGGGAACAGGGACTGTAACTTGCACAGATGTTTAGAAGTAAGGGAAGTGCTTAAGGTAGAATAGCCATACTGGCAAGTTCATGGTGGAAAATAGTGGGAAACAAAATTCAACAATAAAGATCATGTTCAGGGTCTTAGAATCAGACGGATGAGTTTGGACTTCAAGTCAGTAGTCTTCAACGTGACCACACGTTAGAATTAACTGGGGAGCTCTCTGAAAAATACAAATATCCAGTCTCCCTCCCAGAGGGATTAATAATCTAGGGTGGGACCCAGAATTTAAAAGCACTAGTGTAAGGTAATGGAGAGCCATTGAAAATTAAATGAAATACTATTAGATTGAATAGCACTGCTCAAAATTCTTCATTACTGGAGATGCCAGCCAGAAGGGTCTAAAAGAAAGTTGTGTATTTAGGTTTTAGAATTATAGTATGTGGTGGAGAAAAACATAATATATATAGCATTTCATATAAAAAATCTTTGGGAGTTTATTTAATCACAGATGTGATAAGTCAACTACATCCTTGTAAGTATAGCTTTCAGATCTGAGAAGTTATAGTCCTCATATAGCTAGCTAGACCATCTAGCTTTGGTATGTGTTTAATACCAGAAGTTACTTTACCAAAACATTTGAAAATTTAGAGGATATGGATAGTGAAAGTTGTAAAAGTAGGGATTTCAGCCCAAGTTTTAGGGATCTGTAGCAACTGAGTAGCATCCATATGGTCATTCATTCATTCTATGATGTTGACTGACAGCCTGTTTGGGGCCAAACACTGAGTAGGTACTGGATATACAGTGTTGAACAAAACAGCTATAGTCTCAAATAGAGATATAAAAGTAGGGATTTTAGCCCAGAAAACTAAGAAATATAATAAAGGACTTCCCTTAGATTTCATCCAAATCAGAATTACACATTAGTGTTTATAGAATGGCTGATAACATTTTTTGTAATTCTGAACTATCATGTTCTCTAATCACAGCCTTCCTTCTTCAGGCTTTGTATTCCCAAGGATTTGTATTCCCAAGAAGCTGCCATTGAACTCTGTGTAATGCCTAAACTTCTTAAAAATAACATGGAAGTATTAGGACACCCTTAAAAGAATAATTACATAGTCAGCTAAAGAAGTTTTTTAATGGGGCAGAACCCAAATGATTGCTTCATAGGTATTAAATTTTTGTAAAATGAGACTTTGTCATTTTCTAACTCATATTAGGATTATGGTTCCACATGTATGCTTATACATAGTCTGTTTCAAGAAGGATCTACAAGTAAATGTTGATGGCACTCTGGGGAATGACATGGATACTGGGAGAAAGATTTTTACATTACATCTTCTTTCCTGTTTGAATATTTTACCATAAAATATACTATTTTCTAATTTAAAATAGTTTTTTTAAAAAATTCTGTATAGTGACTCCTCTGATTTTTCTAAACTAGTCATATGATGAATTCATTAAGAAAACTGAAGCAGAGCTTAGCCGAGATTTGGAAACATCACCAACAGCCAAGCCTCAAATTAAAACGCTCTCCTCAGCTTCTGAAAAACCCAAGATCAAGCCCCTTCCACTACACAGGTAGAAATTTTTGATAACTTCTCTATGTTCTGCCTTGTTTGAGAAAAGAATTAAGGGAAGACTTTTAGTAGAAGCTATCTCTTAAGTAACTGTGAAGTTAATTTTAACCAATATTTTTACTTTCACTAGAGTTGTTATGTATGATGTAATCACAAATTGAATTTATCATAAGGTACAGGTTTAAAAATATATTCTGAATCCTGAAATCTGGTGGGCACAATGAAAATAGTATCCTCTAGTATTGCTAGTAGCAATAGACTTTTGCAAAGCAGTTTGCCAGTGTTTCAGAAGTAAAAAACAACCTGTAACTTATGATTCCATAATTTCACTCCTGGAAACCTAGTTTGAGAAAATATGCAATATCTTTATGTCCAGAAATAGGTGAATAGCCCAGTAACTTAAGGGTCTTCCCAGGGATGGAATATTATGCAGCCAGTCAGTGCAAATACAGAATACTGAGAGGCAGCATTGGAGATTGTATATAAAAAAGTGAGGTTGCAATACTTAAACTGAATTTTGAGCAATGAGTAGGGGGTAAGCAGTCAGTGGGACTGAGAAATAGGGGTCATTTCAGAGAAGGACATTGATGAATGACCAAAAGCAGCAGGGAGCTTGGCATGTTACAGAAACTGAACATTATAGAATGTTGCTAATGTTAGAAGAGACTGGAAAAATAAAAACTGAATTGTGAAAACCTTGTACTCACTCATTCATAATATAATTTCTACTTTACTTTTCAGAAGATGGGAAGCCTTTGAAGGCTTTCCCAAAAAATACTTAGGGATTTTTAAGTCTGTTACAAAAATAATAGAGACTCATGATAATTAATTTCTCATTACCTCAGTTTGAATCATGGCTTCAGTACCAGCTAGCTATTTAACTTTGTTGGGCAAGTTATTTAATCTCTCTGTGCTTATTTTTTTTAATAGGGATTTATATCCCTATAATAACACCTAAGTAATTAACTTGTTATGAGAATTAAAAGACTTAACTTAGATCAGAGCTTAGCATACAATTAGCACTGCGTATTAGTAGTTACTGTTATTATTTTAATTAGAATATTGAGGGAAGCAGTAAAAAGAAGAAAAGTTTAAATCATATACTGAACTATCCCAGAATTGCAAATGTCAACAATTAGATGTATTTCCTTTTAGGATTTCTTATGCTTAGATTTTATATATATATTTTTGTAATATATACATTTTTCCATTATATTACAAAACTGTAAATTTTATTTTTAGATTTCTGCATAATACACTAATGAATTGCTTTACGGTTTTATTAACCAGACTCTTGGAGGATTTTAACTAGAGAATGATGTAATCACATTTGTGTTCAGAGAGCTCTTTCTGACTAGTATATGAAGGAGAAATAGAAAAGAGCAAACTTGGAAGCAGGGAGAACAGGAGTCTAGACCAGGCTTCAAATAATCAGTGTAAATAAGAACAGAGATAGGAAATAAACTTAGAAATATTTAAGAAGCAGGGGTGCCTGGCTGGCTCAGTTGGTAGAACATGTGACTCTTGATCTTGGGATTGTGAGTTCAGGCCCCACATTGGGGATAGAGTTTAGTTTAAAAAAAAAAAAAAAAAGAATTTATTCTTAAAAACACTTAAAAGAAAATATTTGAGAAGTAGACTTCACTGAAGTGCTAGATAGGGGAACAAGAGAAATCTAGAATGACTCCCAGGTTTCTCTTAAATGGTTGGGTCAACATTCCATTAACCTGAATGGAAAGTCAGATGTTCTTTTGTGGGTAGCTTATGACTTTGGTTTTAGAATACAAATTTTGAGGTGTACATGGTTCACCTAAGGAGAATTATCCAGGAAAGATGTCAGTGTAAGATATATATGGGATGAGGAGCATATAGATGGTGGTTGAAAACGTATATATAGCAACATCACCCAAGGAAGATACGCATTCAGAGAGAATAAAAGGGAGCCAAGTACTAATTATGATAAAATAGCATTTAAAGGCATTATAAAGAGAAGCGGAAGCCAAATACTATGACTTAGCAAATAAAGAGAAGGCAAGAAAATGAAGAATGTAGCTCTTTCTGTTAACTTAAAGAATAAGAGAGGACAGCAGCCAGGAGGTGGAAGAATGAAGAATTGAGAGGTAAAATTTTGAGGCTCATGGCGTACTTACAAGCGAAGGGGAAAAATCTCCAGGGTGAAGGACTGAAGGTTCTAGGAAAGTGAACGTGTGACTGAAGAGTACCATTAATGAGGCTGAGGCAATGTGTGAGATTTTCGGCAGGAGGTTCAAACAATCAGCTTTGAATACGTGTGAAAGACACACCTCTTTCTGTCCTGCAGACAGAAGGAAAGGCAGTTGGGATGGCTATGAATATAGATACATTTGTAGGTAGAAAGGCTCAGGGTAAGAAAGGTCATGCTGATGGCCTCTGTTTTTCTCATTAAAAGAGGCAAGATTGTCTACTGAGAGTGATGAAGGCCAGAAACAGGCTTGGTGAAAGTGACAGGTTGGAATACCTCCTGTGAAGAAGTAGTTTTCTGAGAGTTGACTGCTTGTTGTTACCAGTTATTACAATATCAGCAGTACATTTATTTCTACTCTTTATTTTTTTGTTTCAGATCTGAAACAGCAAAGAACTGGAAATCACTAACAGAATCAGAGCGTGCCAGAGGGTCATTGGAGTCCATTGCTGAACATGTTGGTATGTAACTAGGAAAAATAATGACGCTGTATCCACTAGACTTAAGAATTTATGCAAGGGCGTATATAATTCTGCCTCTACAGCGTTTCGATTAAAAAATGAATTTTTAGGGGCGCCTGGGTGGCGCAGTCGGTTAAGCGTCCAACTTCAGCCAGGTCACGATCTCGCGGTCCGTGAGTTCGAGCCCCGCGTCGGGCTCTGGGCTGATGGCTCAGAGCCTGGAGCCTGTTTCCGATTCTGTGTCTCCCTCTCTCTCTGCCCCTCCCTCGTTCATGCTCTGTCTCTCTCTGTCCCAAAAATAAAAAAAAAAAATAAAAAAAACGTTAAAAAAAAAAAAAATGAATTTCTTAAAGATAATAATTATTGAAATTTTAAGTTACTTTTATATAAAAGTGATTTATTGGTTATATATAAATTTAAAAACTGAAGCATAAAGACATTAATCTAAAATGGTTGAGTGTATCATCGGCATCCCTAAATTCTCCCTTAATCAAATTTTATAACTGATTATATATTTTTTTCAGTCTATACTATTTCTCAGGGTTAAGTGGTTATATACATGTATATTTTTCAACTTAATCCAAAGAAAGATAAGAATTATTGAAAATAAACTGTAATTCAATGAGGAAATAAAACTGAGGCATAAAAAAGCCTATGTAGAAACAATGACAAAATAGAGATTTGAATTCAGAACTTTTACCTCTTGGTTTGTTAGCTCATCCAGTATTTTTTTTTTCTTATTCTGCAGTTTTAGCTCTTAAAATACTGTATTTGCAGAAATTGTTATTTTTTCTCTTGCATTTGCATTTGAGAGCTTAGTTGAAGTCCCCAGGAAAATTCATTCTTTTCAAAGTATCTTTGTCCCTCCTTCATTGTTTTCCTATCTGAAATAATGTGTATGTAATATCTATCTGGTTTCACATGATTTGAAGAATTGATCACACAAATCAGTGTCTCCATAAACTTAGAGCCATTTTTCTTCACTTTATAAGTTAAGACAGCCCTTAAGAAATATTTCAAACTTTAAATTTCCAGTCATTCTAAATGTTCTGGTTATTGCTGGGGCAATATACTCTCTTAAAGGAAAAACTTAACTTCTATGGTAACCAAAACAGGTTATATTTATTGACCAGAGTTTTTCCTCATGAAGATTTGGCTTTTATTTAACCTTTGGTTCCAGCAGTTAAAAGGTTGTGATTAAATAATTTTGATAAGATTTTTTTTCTTTTCCTGAAAGATGCTGCATTGGCAGGTTCTGAGAGATCAGTATCGGAAAGGTCTTTATCTGCATATGCGAAGAGAGTCATTGAATTGGATAGACAAACAGAAGAGCATTTTCAGACTTCATCCCCAATTCTTAGATCATCAAGGAAAGCCAGAGCAGAATCTGGCGATTCTTTAGAAAATGTACCATCATTATCTCTTCTCAAAGAATTGAATGCCCCTAATAGAATTCTGGATGTGTTAGATGCCAAGGTTGAAGAAGCTAGTCAAAAATCAGAAATACAAGAAGTGGACTATGCAAAATTGGAAGAGAGTGTGATTGAAGAGGCCTATTCAAAACAATGTAGGAAGTCTGATGTCTTACTGAAACTAGACCTGGAACAGGGAGATTCATCTGAAATTCTTTCAAGGAAGGATCTTCCTTTAGATTCTGTAAATGTTCAGAAAGACTTAGTTAGATTAGCCATTGAAAATCTTCATAAAAAACAGTTGAAAGAGAGAGAGTCAGATCAAGGTACTGATCACAGTACAAGCACCCAATCAGAAAAAGAAGTTCATGAACAAAGGAACATAAAGGAAAGGGACTCATCTTTGTCAGAGCATCTTTTTGCTCCTAAGGAGACATCATACTCTGAAGATTTTGAAGTGTCTTCTCTCAAGAAAGACATTTCAGCTGACCTGTACAAAGATGACTTTGAGGTGTCATCTTTGTTGTCACTCAGGAAAGACTCTCAATCTTGCAGAGATGAGTCACGGCCAACAAAGAACTCTACAAGTAGAGCCACTAGCTTGGGCAGTGATGATGAAATCAGTGAGTGCCTCAGTGAGAAAAGCCTTTCTGTTCATAGCAGTGTCCACTCTGAGAGGCTATTAGAACTCAAGTCCCCCACTGAGCTTATGAAAAGTAAGGAGCGCAGTGATGTAGAACATGAACAGGGAGTTACGGAACCCCCTTCCTTGGTTTCAGTTTCTGTTGCAGATGAGTTACATGATTTCCACATTGGCGATAGGGTGTTGATTGGCAATGTTCAGCCAGGAACTCTTCGATTCAAAGGCGTGACCAGTTTTGCCAAAGGATTTTGGGCTGGAGTGGAGTTGGATAAAGCTGAAGGAAATAACAATGGGACATATGATGGCATTGTATACTTTGTGTGCAGAGAGAAGCATGGTATTTTTGCTCCCCCTCAAAAAATATCTCACATTCCAGAAAACTTTGATGACTATGTAGACATAAATGAAGATGAAGAGTCTTACTCAGATGGACGATATCAATACTATAATCAAGAACAAAAAGATACAGCAGATTCCAAATTTGATAGAGAAAAGGATGCAGTTGAATATTTTTATGAGAACTCTCTACCTAGTATGCATGATATAGAAGCCTCACTTGATAGAAGCCTTAAAATAGAAACAGACAAGGTACAGGACGTTTCTGGGGTACTTGAAGCCCATGTTCACCAGCAATCTTCAGTGGATTCACTGATCTCTTCAAAGGAAAACAAAGACGTTCCTGGTGCCATAGAAAAGGTTTCCATTGCTGTAGAAGGCGATACTTTAGACAATGCCTTTTCTGAAGAATTAAAGCAGCAGCAGCAGTTGACAGAAAAGGAAGAGGACCTATGTCCTGAGGTGTCAGAAAAGCTCTCTACTCCACTTCTAGATCTTTTAACAAGAGAAAAGAACCAACTGGAAGCCCAGCTGAGGTCCTCACTAAATGAGGAAAAGTCAAAGCAGCAGCTAGAAAAAGTCAGCTTACTGACAGACAGTTTACTAACAGTCTTTGTGAAGGACACAGTCAATCAACTACAAGAAATCAAAAAAGCTAGGAATGAGAAAATCCAGCTTAGCAATCAAGGGCTTCTTGATGATGATCGACAGAGTATGCCACCCCAATGCCTATCCCAAAATCTTGAGGAACAGTCAGCAAGCGTTCCAGATTGCTTCTTAAGGCCTGACTTAGAAGATGAAAAAGAAGAGATTTCTTCACCAGATATATGCCCCAGGCCTGTAAGTATTTTGTCTAGAAAGAATGTCAATTTACCTTCTGTAGTGCGTTTTAATTCTGTAGTTCCTCATAGATTTTTTGTGACATGTTATTTATTAGATAAAGATCACTGTACTAGTTTTTAAAGACCCTGTGGCTGTTTTTCTGTCTGAAGTATGATTGTCCTCTATTATGTCATGAGTGGTCACTGTAGGATTGTCACAAACACTGGCAGTTTTGTGCTGGATTGATGACCCTTGTGTGCTGTCTGGAGGTTAGATTCCCTTCCAGATCCACTGAACAGATTTACTCCATGGAGCTTTCCAGTGGTTCTCAATCCAGTTCTTTTTTGCCTATGAAATTATGTGTCTACCTATCTACTCAGTCATAATTGCTCTGCAGATATTGCCAGTTGTGATGTTGATTCTGGGAAAACTGAAATACATCCACTATGACATATACTCAGACAGACCATCAACTTAACTCGGGTTGCCCGTAGACAGTTGAACAAAAGTAATGATTTTGAGTAATTTGAGCCAGATAATCACCAGAGGTGAGAAATTTCATATATTGTTTCCATATCCCAGAGACAAGAGAGTCCTTCAGGAACAAAATAATGATGATTCAAAAAGAAAAAAACAACTAATCAATAAACAGTTTATAAAAATTCAGTTATAAGGCTTATGTAAGCAGAATTATGGGAAGCAGGATACTTTCTTCTTAAATTATTAATTAGTAGCCACCATGTTGTTTTTGTTTTGCTTATAGAGAAAGAGTAAACATACAAATAATATATTTGCTTTGTCTTTAAAAACAAAAAGCCCAAATGAATGATCTGAGGTTACTAAACGGTGCTCTGTTTGATTGGTTCCATTTCCATAGGAGAGTCCAGTATTTGGTGCCAGTGGACAGGAGGAGCTCGCTAAAAGACTTGCTGAACTTGAGATCAGCCGGGAGTTCCTGAGTGTGTTAGGAGATGATCAAGACTGGTTTGATGAAGACTTTGGTTTGAGCTCTTCTCACAAGATCCCCAAAAACAAGGCAGAAGAAACAATTGTACCTCTAATGGCAGAACCTAAAAGAGCTCCCCAAAAGCCATGTGAGACACTGTTGGCAGTCCCCCATACCACAGAGGAAGTAGAAACTCTTGTACATAATGCAGTGGAAGAACTCTGGAAATGGAAAGAATTAGGTCACGATCTCCACAGCATCAGTGTTCCTGCAAAACTGCTTGGCTGTGCCAGTAAGGGTCTAGATATAGAAAGCACTAGTAAAAGAGTCTACAAACAGGTATGTAACCTGGAAGGATAATTTTAATTTTTAAACTAATCTCTGTTGTTTGAAATTTGGATTTGTAGCCATTTTATTTTTGTTTCATTTTTCTCTGTCAAGGCGGTTTTTGATTTAACAAAAGAGATTTTTGAGGAAATATTCGCAGAGGATCCCAACTTGAATCAACCCGTCTGGATGAAGCCATGTAGAATCAACTCCAGTTATTTCCGACGAGTGAAAAACCCAAATAACCTTGATGAAATCAAGGTAAACTGCAAACTAGAGAGTATCTCCTTTTTTGACTTGCTGTTCATTTATGTAGATCTATAAATGCCGTAGAAGCAGGTACTCTTCTGTATGATTCTCCTTCTGTCCTCAAGGCCTTTTGCATAGTGGGTTTTCAGTACATGTTTGTTGATTCATGAAGTCCATGAGCAGTGGAGGGATGAGGTGAGAGAGAGTCCTGAATCCTCAAGTTTTTGCAAGTATAACTTTTTAACATTTCCTATGTGTACATAATTTATAATATTTAAAAAAAAATTAGGAAATACTCTGGGATATAAATTATTGGACTTCCAGGTAAATTTTTGGCAATTTAGAGATCATGGTACAGTATTCTAGAAGTATACCGGAAAACATGTCTCCTATCAAATATGCCAGCCCTAGACAGGTGTTACCTTTTCATCTTTGATTTTGGAGGTCTCAAATTAGCTATGTGGTTTTGAAATATGTGGGATAGTAATATGATATATAAAAAATATTGTTTGTTATCTAAGAAGCCCCTGAAAAGATTAAGTGCCTTGAAGCTACAGTGACTCCCAGCAAAACTTCAAAGTCACATTGGTGGAAATTTCTGCCCGTTCACATGTTTCTTTAATATAGCAAAGGTTGTATTCCCAGTGTAGTGCCTCTTGAACTGTAATGTGCATATGAATCACTGGGGATTTGGTTAAAATGGAGATTCTTACTCAGCAGGTCAGGAGTACCATTTCTAACAGACTCCCAAGCGATGTGGACGCTGTTGACCCTAGAACCCACCCTGAGGAACAAGGCTCTGGAATTGTGTTTTCCAGACTTATTTGATCACAGAAAGCCTGCCCCCTGCATCCTGCCCCTATAGCATACCTCCAGCTACAGTTGATCCTTGAACATCTTTGGGGGGTTAGAGCTGCCAAACCCCTACTCAGTTGAAAATCTTTAACTACTAACAGTCTACCGGAAACCTTACTGATAAATAGTCAATTAACACATATTTTGTATGTTACATGTTTTGTATACTGTATTCTTATAATAAAGTAAGCTAGAGAAAAGAAATGTCACTAAGAAAATCTTAAGGAAAAGAAAATACGTTTATGGTACTGTTATGTATTTCTTGAAAAAACTCTGTGTATAAGTGGGTCAACACAGTTCAAACCCATGTTGTTCAAGGGTCACCTGTGCTCATCTTACTGGTGTATTTTCCTACATCATCCAGGAGTGTATGTGGACTATTAAAATGTGGTAAAGAACATATACATTATTCTGGTATGTCATGTGGAGGCATTGCCTAAACAATTTAGTCTGTTTTTTTAATTGAGATATAATTAACATAATTATATTTGTTTTAGGTATACAACATAATGATTCTGTATTTGTCTATATTATTTTTAAAAAAGGTCACCACAAGTCTAGTTAGCATCCATCATTACACATGGTTACAAATTGTTTTGTGTGATGAAAAAATTTTAAGATCTCTCTTAGTGACTTTCAAATGTACAATACAGTATTATTTAACTACAGAAAGCTTTTGAAAATATTTTGTACTCACAGAACACCAACAGATATTTATGGGATGTCATGTATGCCTACACTGAAGTTAGGCAAACTGTGGCTCACAGTCCAAATCCAGCCTACCACCTGTTTTTATAAATGAAGGTGTATTGGACCACAGCCACACCCATTTGTTTAAATATTGTGTATGACTGCCATTCTGCTACAACAGCAGACTTCAGTAGTTGCGACAGAGACCAAATGGCCCACAAAGCCTTAAATATTTACAGGCTGATCCCCGCTTAAATTAAAGTAAGGAAGAAATAAAAAGCTTCCAAAGATTACTTTTGATTCATTAAAAAAAGAAAACTTCTAAAATGATTTTCAGCTTCGAAGAATAAAGTATCGGAACTGCCGGGGGAGCTTTTTCAAAACACAGGTGTACTCCATTGCTTTCAGCCCTCCAGTGTTGATACATCCTTGAAAGAGAGAGACCTAGAAAATGTGTGTGGATTGGTGGAGTTTGGGGGCACATTGGTAGTTTGAGAATCTTTTCAAATGATTCTGATTCATAAATGTGTCTTTTCCCCCCATTGACATTTTTTTAATGGAACCATAAAAAGTTGTAAACGCCAATTGTTTTATTAATAACAAAGGACAAATAAATTGAAATAAGAGAAGATACATAATGGGACGCCTGGGTGGCTCAGTTGGTTGAATGTCCAACTCTTGATTTCCACTCAGGTCATGATCCCAGGGTCGTGGGATCGAGCTCTACGTGGAGCCTGCTTAAGATTCTCTCTTTCCCTCTGCCCCTCTTCCCCACTCGTGCTCTCTCTCTCTCTTTCTCTCTCTCTCTCTCTCTCTCTCAAATAAAAAATTTTTTAAAAAGACAAGATGCATAATATATATCAACAATCAAAATACATATATCAGTATAACACACAGTTATGCTGCCCAGCGATTTTAATATTGAAATAACATTTTGTAAGGTATTTTTAAGGATGATAGTTTAAATACTGTTAGTAACATTACCATGCTTCTTATATTGAAGCACTGATTAATATTTTTACAATTCAATGTATTCAGTCATGGTGCTTCAAAATAAACTATCCCAGCCAAAGCCTGTACTTTGCTCCCACGGCACTGCTTCGAACCTTTATGTGGGATTAAGTGCAGAGATTTATTTAATGCTTTCTCTAATAGTTTTGCCCGCTTGAAGTTAGCTAATGGCAGTTCTTAGATAGAGGGGACTCTAAAGTGATTTTTCTTTGCAGATTCATCAGTGGGTTTTACTTTTGTATGTTGTGTAAAAAGAAAAATTCTTTAAGTAAAGTCAGAGCATTTGGAATGCTTTTGTCTTCAAATTGCTAAGTGGAACTGTTGAGTGGAAGAAATTTGTATGATCTTTTATTATAAATGCTATGTTCTTAGCATGCACCTGCATTATAAGCACTGACTCTCAGAAACTTGGCTGTTTGGTTCATTACTTCCTCTTATTTTCACAGAACTTCATAGCCACCGAAGTGCTCAAGTTGTTTAGTCTTAAAAAGGAGCCAAACCACAAAACAGATTGGCAGAAAATGATGAAATTTGGAAGAAAGAAAAGAGACCGAGTGGATCATATCCTGGTCAGTGTATATAACTGCAATATGTTTATTTTGACTGTCTCTTCTAAAATCAGAATGTAGTTACATTCTAAAAAGAAAAGGAATGTAACTGACCCTAAGTCTATGATAGTGAAGCCGTGAAGCCTTCATTTGCTGCATTTCTGCCCCTCAGTTTTGGAACTTGCTTTCTTTTGAACTTGACAGAAGAATATTTAACTGAACAGTATTTTGTGGGTGTGGAAAACTTGAGAAATAAAAAGCTGAGTGGATGAGGTACGGCATTAAGAAGAGATCAGTGTAGACTCTGGGGCCAGACTGCCTGCCTTTAAATCCCTTTTCTGCCACATACCTGGTGTGTAATCTTGGACAAATTGTCTAATCCCCTTGTGTCTCGTCTCCCTATCTGTAATCTACCAAGACAGTTATTAAGAGAATTAAAAGTATGTTTACATATGTATGTATGCAAGAGTTCCCTGGCTACATATAACTCAGTAAATACTAGCTGTTATGCTTTCCTCCTCGTTATTATTATCCAGAGCTTTTAGCTGGGTAGGATTTATTCCATTTGGCAATAGATTTCCCTAGCACTAGAAAAACATTTCTCAAACAAAAAAAAAAGAAAGAAAAAGGAAAGAAAAAAAAAGTCATTCTTTTCTTTGTTCCCTAAAAGAATGTTAAGCAGTAGCAAATTTCGGGAAACTCATTACTTGATTCACGTTTATCTCTAAACATTTTGATTCTGAACTATTTTATCTTGTCTGTATTTATATTCATATAACGAAAAACAAATGTAAGGCTTAAATTAATGAGTTTTCCCCAAGTGTGCGCCTTTCCATTGCTTCATTTACTCAGTAATGACTACACTAGATAAACATTTATTTAGAGTTTTATACTTTGCCATTCTTTTTCATGCCTTATTTGATCCTCACAGTAATTATATGAGGCAGGAAGGACTCACGTTATTCTGTGTTACAAATGAGAAAGTTTGGGGGCACCTGGCTGGCTTAGCAGAGTGTGTGACTCTTGATCTCAGAGTTCAAGTTCAAGCCCCACGTTGATTGTACAGATTACTTAAAAATAAAAAATCTTGGGGCACCTGGATGACTCAGTCAGTTGAGCTTCCGACTCCTGATTTCAGCTCCGGCCATGATCCCAGCATCGTGAGATCGAGCCCCACATGAGGCTCTGCCCTGAGGGTGGAGGGTGCTTAAGATTCTCTCTGTCTCCCTCTGCCCCTCTGCCGCGTTCGTGCTCTCTCCCTGTCTCTCTAAAAATGAGTGAAATTTAAAAAAAAAAAAAAATCTTTACAGAAAGTTTAGACTCAGAGATATTAAGTGACTTGCCCAGCAAATAAGAGCCAAGATTTTAAGCAACTTTTTCATAGCTCTTTGCCTCTTAAGAACGTGAACTTGTTCTCATAGTTCTACAGCAGCTTAAAGTTTGAGTTCTTGTTAATTTCTAAGTCCTTACTTCCTCTACTTCTTTAGGAGTTAAAGAAGAGAGCATGTCAAGAAACATTCATGTACCCCTTCTATCAGTTAAATTGATCATATCCTCTATAAATCATCTCAGGGCACACACTGAGTCAAGAATTGTGCTAATTAACGACTAATGTTACAGTGGTAAGCAAGACAGACCTAGCCCCTGCCTTCATGGATTTATCCTTGGCTGGAAAAACTAGCCGTTAATATATAATTTACATAAGTAAATTAGAAATTTTATAAATTATAAATTAAGTGATAAAAATAGAGGAACAGAGAGCTTTATACAAGCATAACTCAGAGGAAACTGATCTGATGAAGATGGTCAGGGAAGACTTCCCTGAGGAAGTGACATCTGAGCTGAGACCTTAAAGACGAGTAAGCATTAACTGGGTTCTAAGATATAAGAACAATTCACGGAAAAGCAAACCACGTTTGCAAAGACCTGAAATGATCATGGGTCTGAGCTGAAATGTTAGCACGGCTGGAGGTGGCATAAACTGGAGAGGTAGAGTCTGTATCCTGCAGTGCCTTGTAAGCCACGTCAGGGATTTTGGATTTTATTGTAAAAGCAAGGAGTTTAAGCAAGAGAGATTACAAGACCAGATCTGCAGTTTTAAAAGTCCTGGAAATGGGACACCTGGGTGGCTCAGTCAGTTAAACATCCGACTCTGATTTCAGCTCAGGTCACTGATGGCGTAGAGCTTGCTTGGGATTCTCTCTCTCCCTGTCTCTCTGCCCCTCCCCTGCTCACACTTTCTCTCGCTCTCAAAAAAAAAAAAAAAAAAAAAAAAAAGAATTAAAAAAAATTAAATTAAAATGCTGGAAGAATCCTTCAAAAGAAATGTGTGGAGGAAAAAAGACCAGTGAGAAGGATGTAGCCTGTAGGTCAAAGGTGACTGTTTAGGTTTATTGAAGCAAAACTTCTTAGGTAAGTTTATCTTGAGCACATGTCAAGTAAATGAGGAAACCAGCATAGTGTAGCAGTTCAAAATGAACAGAGAGTGAAGGCTTAATGCATGCGGCTTCCAGCTAGTTACAGACAGCTCTCACTTCACATGGTTATAAAAATGTCATCTTCACAGTGAAAGGATTAAATATGTTGGCAGGGGAGCAACAACTTGGAGGCATCTTCAGACTGGAATTGTTAGTCAGAAATGACAAGTAATACATCTCACAAGTGAACAATAAATGAATTGATTTGTAGCTCTTTATTAGACGTACCACAAAACAAGATCTTGTCCTTCGAAGGCATAGGCTTCCAGGTGCCAGATAGGATCACTTACACAGGAAAACATTGGTCTCTCCAGCAGTTTTCAGAAAATTCTTAAATAGCAAACAAAAATTCCTTTTGCTAGTATGAGATTATTATAGCTTGGGTGAGGGTAACGTCAATGTACAACAATTCAGGAGAGTTGGGAGTTGGGAAAATAGTAACAACATATATTTTGTGAATATTCCCTTTGTTGGTCATAAACTTTTTCACCTTCCTACAGAGAGACCTGGGCCTATGTAACTTGTTTCATGAGTTCACTCTTAATGTATAGCAAAATGATACTGTTAGTTCCTTGAGTTAATGATTAAAAATGCTAAATAAACTCCTCTCCCACTGTTAGATTTAGCCAACCTAGCATCTGGAGATTCTAATGCTCTTGCATAGAGAGATTGAGATTCAAAACAACAATTTTTTTATATCACATGAACCAAAATTTTTCCCATAGTACAAAAGAAAAACCATGTTTATTATAAAACAACCATGCTCATTTTAGGAAATTTAGAAAATATTGGTAAATCAAAAGAAAATCATGATAATTTCATCACCTAGATAGCTCTTAATGTTGTGATGTATAGACTTAGAGTCTTTATACAGAGGATTTTTTTTAAACAGTTGAGATCATGGTCTCTTTTTTGTAAACTGATTGTTTTTAGTCAATAAAATGTGAACTTTTTTCTTGTCACTAAATGTTCCTCTATTTTATATCACATTTAATAACTTTATCCCATTTTATTGTTGTGGAAATATAGTAATCTGTTGTACGGATGTACCATCATTTATTTAACCAGTCAGTAATTTTTTTTGCTCTTTTAAACGGCAGTGTTGTAATAAACATCTTGTGATATGGTAGATCTTTGTACTTATTTCCAGTGGTTTCCTTAGGATAAACTCCTAGAAATAGAATCACTGATTAAAAGCATATGCAGAATGTTAAGGCTTACGTATGTGTTGTCAAATTGTTCTCCAAAAAGGTCGTAGCAATTATACATCCTTACCAGCACGGTACAAGAGTGGAGGTTCCCACCTTTGCCAATACTAGCTACTACCGATGTGTAAGTCTTTACCAAAAGAACGAGCTCATTTTGCTCTATTTAATTTTATTATCAATGTGGTTAATATTTTTACCTGTTCATTGGTTATTCTAAATCTTTTGCATATTTAATCCTTACTTATTTCAGAATGACAAAAAAGAATGAAAATAATACAGAAACCATTGTTTCCACTTTTCTAACGTCCATACTTTAGTATTTCGTTAATCCCACAAACATCATGTCAGCTCTCAGCCTTTGTCTGCAGGTCTGTCTGTCTGCTCTGATCTCAGCCCCTGCTCCTGAATTCCGGCTTACTTACATATTGAATTCTAGGACGATCGTTCTTTCACTTCAGCAGCTTGAAGATACTATTTTCCTGTAATCTGACCTCTCTTATTGGTCTTGAGACATCTGCTGATAGTTCTTTTTGGGGAATCTGTCTTATCTTTTTGGTTTCTGTGGAAGACCGTGTGTGTGTTTGTGAATTTGTGTGTTTGTTTCAGTTTCTCTGGATGTGTCTAGATGTGGATTTGGCTTGGTTTTGTTTTTTTTTCGGGCTTTGGACTCACTATGCTTATTAAATCTATGGATTCATATCTTTACTCAATTCTGGAAAATTCTCAGCTATTGTCTCAGAATATTGCCTCTCCCCAAGTCTCCAGTTCCCCGTGGCGCCTCTCTGGACATCCCTTTGGCCCTGTTCTCTCTTCCACGGTGCTTGATTCTTCCCCTAAATAGTTGCAGCTCTTGCCACTCTTTTAAATCCCTATTTGTTCTGGTAGTCAGGATTTTCCTCTTTTCTCAAGATTTCCCTATGCATTACAAATATTTTTTGTTGTATTTTATCCAATATATCTGTCTTTATATGAGAACTTTTTCGCACCACCTTACTCTTATGTTACCATTTTTACTCTGACGGGCTTGCCAGCTAGTTGTGGTGTTGGGGGTGGTGGTGTTTTAACGTACGCCAGGAGTTTTTCAAATTTTATTTCTAAGTCATATTTGGGTATTATCATTTAAAAGAGCAGAAGAAGTCAGTGATTAACATTTTGGTCAGCTCAATACTATAGATAAAATGAAGCCAGCTTTTCTTATAAAATTGATGAGTTTTATTGTTTTTCTAGAGTTTTGACTGTTGGTAATTTTGCTTAGGATCTTTAGATTTTAGAGGTCCTGAAATATCCTGAGCCTCATTTAATATTCTTGGATGTACGATCCCCAGAATGCTCCCAC